ACTTCATCGACCAATTTGACTTCACACCAAAGCATGTCCCCGGCCTCTCCAATCGCGCAGCAGATGCACTCTCGCGAAGACCTGATCTTTGCGCGATGACACATCATGCCTTCGCATTCGACGAGGAGCTTCAACGACACTTCATCCGGGCATATCAGTCCGATCCGGAYTTCGGCACGCTCTATGCACAGCTATCTTCGGATCACCCGTCGTCCAACCATTACCGCATTGCCGGTCGGTACTTGCTCCTCCACTCGAGAGGCAAGGACTTACTATGTGTCCCACGCGACCGTCGTCTTCGGACTCGCCTCCTCGGCGAGTACCATGATTCACGACTCGCCGGCCATTTCGGAGTCAACCGCACTATTGCACGACTTCGACAACGATTCCGATGGCCCGACCTCATTACCGATGTCACTCGGTATTGCGACTCTTGCGAAGTTTGCCGACGCAGCAAGCCCCGCAACTGCAATCCCTACGGCGAGTTACACCCGATGCCTATTCCACGGGAACCCGGTCTCTCCATTGCCATGGACGTCACCGGTCTGTTTCCTCGCGACCGGCTCGGGCACGACGGCATCCTCACGGTTGTGGACCGATTGAGTAAGTACGCGCGTTTTCTCCCTTGCAAGTACTACTCCACGRCTCCCGAGCTGGCACGCCTCCTGCACACTGGTTGGATTTGTGGCCACGGTGTACCAGAAGACATCGTCAGCGACCGCGACACTCGTTTCATGTCTGCRTTTTGGACTGCTCTCATGCAGGAGTCCGGCACAACAATGAAACCAAGTTCGGCTCGACACCCGCAGACAGACGGGCTGACGGAGCGGGCACATCAGACCGCTCAAATGATGCTTCGTACGCTCATCCGTCCGGATCAGAAAGATTGGGTTGACCGCCTCCCCGACATCGAGTTCGCCTACAACACTTCGGTGCATCCGGCGATCGGCGTGACTCCATTCRAGTTGCACCACGGTGGACGGAAAGGCCGGATCTTCGCCGACCTTCTCCTCCCTCGACCAGCCGACATCGACGTTGCCTGCTCTCCCTCTTCCGTCCGGAAGTACAGGGAATTGCTGGCTCAAGCCCGCGCAAATATGCAAAAGGCTCAAGTCCGCATGCAGCAGCAAGCGAACAGGCGTCGCGTCCCATGTCCCATCCGCGCCGGTGATCTGGTTTGGGTCTCCGCGGAAGAGTTTGCACTGGAACAGGATGTTTCACGCAAACTGCTTCCCAAGTGGTTTGGACCTTGGTCGGTGACAGCAGCCGCGGGCGATGAGCCCGATGGCCCTTCATTTGTGATCAACATTCCAGAGCATCTGACGGTCCATCCGGTCTTCCACGCCTCAAAGCTGGCAACTTACATGCCAGCCAAGAGCGACGACTTTCCGGGCCGACGATCGCAGGACCCTCCTTCTATGGATGGCCATCAGGAAGTTGACCGCGTCATCTCCGATCGCAAGTACGGCAGCAAGCCGCGGCAGTATAAAGTCACATTCAAAGCATGCRATTGCGACGACACTCGGTGGATATCAGGCGCAGATTTGAAAGCATCCGCACCGCTGATCTACGCGCATTATGAAAAGCGCAGGTTAGCTCAGGAAGTTTCACGACCAGCCCCTCCCACCCGGACTGTGGTCCCTCCCTCAGACAGACAGCTTCGCCCTCGCAGGTAAGCTCGGTTCTTCAAGGAAGGGGGGGTGTGGCATACTGGGTAGCCACACGGGCCTACAGGGCCCGTCCCGGACATTCAGCCTAAAAGCCTAAAACTTAGGGCTTACAGGCCCCGTTCATT